ATGTCAATGAGAGCTTGCTCTCGCCACCACCAACATGAGTGTCCAGGCCCTATCTCCCTACTTGGCGCTCGGCGCCCAGCCTACTTCCTGCACAGCTACTCTCTGCCTACTAATTGACAATACAACTGTTGACGTCAGCAGCCTCTGAAGTACTTGAAGATGTCACCCATGCAGACCATCGCCAATACCAGGTATGTGCCCTCACATCATCATCATCATCATCCTTCTCTCTCTCTCCCTCGTCTTACTCCCACGTCTTCCCTTTTGTACACCCGAAGACCACCCCTGCGCCTCACTGTACAACCAAGCCCAACCAGCTATGGAGGCTGGGCTATGGCGCTGCCCTTAGTAGCGCCCTGATCCCTGCACGACCGCACACGCTTGCACCTTGCCTCTCAGCACCAGCAGCAGCCCACGAGCGTCCGCTTGAGCAGCACTGCCGCTAGCATGCGAGTGCCTGCATGAGGCTGCCGGTGGTGAGATATAGGAAAGAGCCTCCTGCCTTCGCAGCCTGGCTGGACTGGCCTGGGCCCAGAAACTTCCAGTAGGCCCCAGGATGCTGCGCTTGTGTTGCAGCTCTTGGGCCTCTTTCGTTTGGGCCTCACAACTGTCAGTGTATGAGACTGCGATTCTCGCCCAGGGCCTGCATTCTTGGAAAGGCCCAGAAGGCCGTGGAATGTGCTGCTGCTCGGCCTGCATTTTCCCTCAACCAATTGGCGTGTCGCAACTGTCTGGACCCCCAAATACGAAATTGACATTTGAGGGCCTCTCATGCTTTGTTAGGCCCTCCTTCACTTAGGGCGGGCACGTATGCAACAGGGGGCCCTTAGGCCTGCCGAGGACCCAGATCATCATCACATTCCCTCCTCCTATACTTCGATAGTCCTCTGAGAAGTCTTCTATTCTGCAGGCATCTTCCCTTTAAGATCTCTTTTGTGGCCCGCAATGACTTGAGGTGCAGTTCTCATGAGTTCTTCTCTGGTGAACCACCGATCTTCGCTAGGATCCAGATGATGTCTGAATCTGACCCGGTATTGCATTTTTGGCTTAGGAGGGCGGCCTCTGCCCGGTAGTCGAGGAACAGGCATCACACGATGCTCCACGATCTGGTCGATGTCCACTTGACCATCCATGGTTGGGGGCAACATTGACCGTCTGGAAGGGAACTGTGCAGACTCTGTGAAAGGTGCTACCTTGGAGGCATCGAATACAGGGTGTGTACGTAGATGAGGGGGAACACGAATCACGTAGGAAGGCCCATCCTCTTGATCGCCCACTATGTCTAGGACCTCCCATGGACCGAAATACTGTGGCATTAGTTTCTTGGAGATACCTACTTTTTGTCCCAGTTCAGATGACTTTACCCAAACTTTGTCCCCTACCTGAAAGTTAGAAGGTCGTCTGTGCTTGTTCTCGGATGCAATCATGGCATCCTGAGACTTTCTAATATTTTCTACGGCATGTTGCAGCATCTGTTCATATTTGACGGCGAACTCTATGCTACCAGGTGCTGCAGTTGCCTGATTTTCAGGCAATAGGTAGTCGAGGACGGATCTGGGCTTCAACCAAGATGCGGTTGGTTGGGAGTCCTGCCAGTAGTGCTGTGCACAACGTTGTTGTACAGGCTGGCGACGAGTGGTAGCTTCTCATCCCAGTCGTCCTGACTTGGTTTGATGTAATGTCGAAGCATGTGCTACACTACTCGGTTCAACTGCTCCGCCTGACCATTTGACTCAGGGTGGTTCCCTGATGTCATTTGCAGTCTGGTTCCCATCTGCTGGGCTGTGCTTTGCCACAGTTCACTTGTAAAACGTACATCCCAGTCACTAACAATAAACTTCAGTAAACCGAAGTCCCGTACCCAGTTATCCATAAATAGTCGGATGATGTAGTCAGTTTTAGCAGTCTCAGGCATAGCGATAAGTCTAGCATACTTGGAAAAGCGGTCTACTATACGAAGATGTGTCGTTTCCCAGACCTGCTAGTCACAAGGGTATCCATGAAGTCCATGGATACAATCTGACCACGACCTTCAGGAATCAGCAAGGGCTTAATGAGCCCAGGCGGGGCCTAAGTCCTAGGTTTGTTACCTTGACGGACTTGGCAGGTTTCGACATACTTCTTGGCATCTTCCATCATAGAAGGCCACCAGAATTTTTGTACTAGGTTCGCTGAAGTTTTCCTATACCCAAAATGCCCAGTTGCATCGTGATGTTCCCCTAAAAATAAACTACGCAAAGACTCACTATTAGGAACACACAATCGTTTATTCCCTGCCTTTTCAAGAAACAACAAGCCATCTACCATCGTAAATTTGTCAGAAGTTGCTTTATCCTTCTCTTTGAACTTACGGATGATCTCATACATAACTGAGTATTGCTGATAGGCTTCCACCAAAGATCGAGTTGGATCGTTAGATATGCCGAATTCAGTCACTAGCGCGCCCAGGTAATCTGCCCAACGTGATAGTGCATCATCTACTTTGTTGTACTCTCCCTTGATTGGATCAAGTTGATAGTCATACATGTCTATCACTTGAATCCATCGCTTGAGTGCGTAAGAGAGTACAAGTTGTGTCTTGATCCAGCGCAAGGTCTCATGGTCAGATCTCAAGTAGAAGAACGTACCTAGGAGGTAGTGTCTCCAATGGACCAACGCTCTGTAGAGGGCATAGAGCTCACGCTCGTATGTGGACTTTGCTAGCTTTTGTGACGACATCTTCTTACCCACGTACTCGATATGTCTCAACTTTGGCCCCTCCTTTTGCGCAAGGACCGCACCTATGTCATATTGGTTGGCGTCTGTGGTCACAACAAATGGCTTATCAGGATCCGAAAGTTTAAGAACTTCGTAGTGTGTCAGAGCGTACTTCAGTTTCCTGAAGCTTGCTTCACATTCTTCAGGCCACTAACAGGGGTATCAAGTTAAGTTAGATTAGTTAATGGGGAGGCTATAGTACTATAGTTTTTCACAAACGGACGATAGTAGCCCCTCATCCTCAAAAACGATCTGACCTCAGTGTCAGTATGAGGCCTGGGCCAGTCTCGTATGCTGGCCACTTTAGCATCGTCCAGACTCAAACCATCCGCAAAGATTTCATGACCCAAGTACAAGATCTTGGTGCGACCAAACTCGCATTTCTCCAAGTTAACCTTGTACCGGTGCTGTCTTAGGAGACCTAGCATTATTTTCAAGTGCTCAGCGTGCTCCTCTATTGTCTTACTAAAGATAAGAATATCATCACGGTACACGACGATAAACTTATCTAAATACTCATGAAAAATCTTGTTCATTGCATGCTGGAATGTACCAGGAGCATTGCATAGGTCAAAGAGCATCACCACAAACTCGTATAGACCGTACCTGGTCTGAAAGGCAGTTTTGTGTTGGTCCTCAGGTCTAATGGCAATTTGATGGTATGCGGACTTCATATCTATCTTTGTGAAGTATCGGCATCCCTGCACTCTATCCAGTAGGTCGTCGATGCGGGGTAGGGCCTCTGCGTTCTTTACTGTGATGGCATTGAGGCCCCTATAGTCAATGCATATCCTTAAGGTACCCCCTTTTTAGGGACAAATAAGACAAGCGCACCGTAAGGGGAGGTACTAGGTCGAATCCATCCCTTTTTTGTGAGCTCCTTGAGCTGGCCGCGGAGCTCATCCAACTCCGCAGGAAACATCCTATAGATTCATCCTCTAGGCACCTTGCTATCTGGGACAACCTCTATCGCATGGACCACCTCCCTTTCTACCACACCTGTGGGCTCCTAAAAAAGGTCGGAATATTGTGCGACGACTGATTCTATCTTTGGGGGTGTTTTAACAGCCTCCTCTTTCTTAGAAACAAAAACTAGATACATGCCCTCCTCGCAATTCTGCTTATAGTAGTTATAAAAAGATGAGGCACATATGCAGCCATAGTTAGCCACTAGACTGTAAGCCTTATACTTTTGCAGTCTAACGGCCCTACCGTTTGGGAGCTTGTGTATCAACACCTTCCTATCCCAATCAAATTGAGGTTGAACGACCTCGAGGTAGTACATGCCTAGTAACATGTCGAAAGGCAGTTCGTCGCTAACAAGGAATGAAATTTTGTGTCTCACTTCCCCTCCTCCATAAGAGAAGGAACAAACTACGTCCTTGACATAGTCTTTAACTAACATTTGGTGCTTGTTGGCTAGCGTAGAAGCTAGAGTTCTGTTAAGCCGCTGCACTTGGTCCCCTAAGCGCAGTTTATCCACACAAGCACGACTGATGAAGTTTCGTGTAGAGCCTATGCCTGCGAAGACGCCTACGTTGCGGCCACCTACATCAACCTCTGCCATGAAATGTTCACCCTTTGGACCTCTACTGATCATTGCCCAAGAGTCTCTGGGTCCTTTCCTGACCACTCAGACTGTAACTCTTCTAGGGACTCAGACACATCTCTCGAACAGAGCGTCGGTGGGTCTAAATGTGTCCGCGGGGCGAGATGTGGGTCACTAGCCCTGGCCAACGCCTGAACTGGAGAAGGCAACGTTACCACTTCGGCGCGAGTAAGAGCGGCTAAAACTCCTACTGGCCCGAGGTGTTTCCTTGTGAAGTGCTCGCAGAGGCACTGCCAGGATTCGAAGATAGTCCCACCACCGTTGGAGAGGCTACCTTCGTTAGGATTTTTTTACCTCGGCACGTTCTGGATGTGTGGCCATAGTTGCCACAGTTCATGTACGTAACCCTAGCAACTCGGTCCCTCCACACCTCATAATCTAAACCAAGTTTCACCCATGCGGGTGTTCCTTGGTCGCCCTAACCCATGGACTGTACTACCTTCTTCTTCTCGGTCCCCCTAGTCTTTTCCTTGGTAGGTGCCACGATTCCCCCATCCGAAGTTTCGCTGGCCCCATCATGCTCTATCTCGTCCCCATATTCTGGGAAGTCGTCAATTTTTGTCGCCTGACCATCATGGTCAACGAATATAAGTTGACCTTTATTTACCAGTCTTGGGGAAGCCTCTTCTTCCTACCATCTCCCTGGCCTTGATTAAACGGACCCAAGCTTTGCCTCTATATCTAAGGCTTTCTTGCTGAAAGAGGCGAAGTTATGTTGGTCGATGTAGGCCTCGTCTACCAGTTTATTCTTAACATCTAAAGACAGACATCTCAAATAATCCGTGAGGAGTACCTGTGGGTTGTACTCTACACCAGGTACTACGAGCAGACGTTCTACCGTGTCTGTGAGCTCGCGAACATTCTTGTACCTTTTGGCACAAAGATTGTTGATCGCGTCGGTGGCCTTTTGAGCCCCTTGAGGGTCATGCCACTTGTTATACATAGTCCGTACGAAATCTTCCAATGTCTAGGTCTGGGCTCATACATTGAAATTCTGACCGTGACCCTGTTGTTGCACTAAGCCATTCAACCAACACGTTGTCGATCCCTCTAAAAAGGAAGCAGCAACTATGACTTCCTGCTCTAACCTGGTGAGCTTATGCCTCACATAGGTGGGCACAATCCTCACCCAGGTGTCTAGATCCTCATCCTTTTTCTTGTCGCCCGAAAAAGGTTTAGGACTCAGCAATGGGATCTTGGGCATCCACTGCATGGGCTGCATTGGTCCAGACACTTCCTGCAGTGGCTGCATAGCCACAGAAACAGGTTGCTGCACACTAACCTTGGCCGACCCTAACAATGGGACTGTAGTTACCACTGTCGTGGATGGCACGGTCGAAGCTCTAAGGACCGGACCACAAGTTGCTATTAAACCACCCGGAGGGGGCATGCCAAACATTAGAGAAAAGGAAGGCCCTACCGGCGACGGCGTCACTGAGGAACCTGCGATCAAAGGGGGAGCTACAACATACTGCGGCTGTCTCATCAATGGACGAGGAGCCTGCAGTGCAGGCAGGATTTGTTTCTGGTCTGCCACTAGTTCAACTAGCACCTCCTGCTGCACAACCTGCGTTTCTGCCACACACAGGAGCGAATTCCGCAGTGCTTGCATAGCAGGGTCTAGTGTCGACTCATCTAATGCATCTAGTTTGCGTAGCTCCTGTAACCTGCTCCCTAGTCTAACTTTTCTCATTATAGCTCTTCTTCTTCTCTCTGCTGCCTCATCCAACTGCCGTTGCAGCTCATCCTGAAGTTCTTCTGCTTGGAGGATCTCATAATCCTCCGGTGTGAGTTGAGCCTGTTGGCTGACTTGCAAGCCAATACTCTGGCTAACGGAAGCCTGAGAACCGATCTGACTGATTCCTAACGAAGTGGCTTGTGAAGAGGCCTGCGGCATGGAGGAGGTGGCCGTGGTTGCACCTGCACTAGCTATAGTTCTAGAACTGGTGCTGGCCACGGTGTCCCTCGCTCTCCTCGTTGCTGCCCTCTCCCTAATCTCTCTCCGCAGTCTCCTCTCGTCTCCTGGACCTAACTCTAGGAAAATCAAGGGTCGACTGAGAGCAGTTCTACGAGTGATCCTAAAGTCGTCCACTAACAATTCCTCCTCACTAGTGCTTGCATCACTCATGAGCTACAGTGTGTGTGAACTAAACTAGAATCCACACTCAATCCTACCTTAGCATGACACACAACCGAGTATGGTACACAAGTAATTTCGGTCGACCTGGACAGAAACAGTTAGGTAGTTTAGTGTTAACTAATGTCAGATCCTATAGGGGATGTTAAATTTATTTTTAGATTACTCTAATACAGATTGCAAGGCAACAAAGAATATACTACTCTGTCTACAACTGTCTATCAGTTGTTAGTCAAGTCCGTAACAACTAAATAATCAAAAAAAAAAAAAGCATCTCCTGCAGAGATGTATGCTGGATGGCAATTTATCTTTTTAATGCCTCCGCGAACAGTTACCAGAATCCAACCATTTCCCTGTATCCCTCTTGAGTAGTCACTTTGTGTCGACGTTCCTAGGCATCTGGTTGAGCGGCGTGTCTGAAGGTGTGCAATCCGGCTGACCCCTGTGCCCCAAGTTTACGCCAAGCCTACCAGCCCCTGCACCTAATTTATCCTCGCATGCAACGAGCCTTACACCCGGTTTGATCTGGTTGATCAAGAGGTAGTTTTAGGACAACCCCCACGGTCCTCAGGAATTATTTAACGTCGCAATCAGGATGACGATCACAATTAGAGGCAAGACCGAGTCCCCGCCATAATTATTTAAAGACAATCTGGAAAGCGTCTGTTCAAAGGGTTGGCATGCCCTGCATGACCTCTATTGCGCAGCAGCAAAACCAAGGACTTGTGGCAAAGCATGCATGTACTAGTCCCAATGGGTTGGCATGGTGACCTTGATCCGAGTGCTTTGTTCAGGGCCCTTCAGAGGCATCGCCCGTCTCCCACCAGCTTGCTGCCCAGGAAGAATGTCGACTCTCATGGTTGCGCACTCACGACACCTCGTGATGAGAGGACTCTCAAGACAAGACTCACTTCCTCACGGTAAGAAGCAATGAAGAGGGTAGATAAGGAAGGAAGCAACGTACCTCATAATGCTGCCCCCAACCACAGATTTCTCACCGGCAACCTGACATGCATTTATGATGACCGGTCTTTGCCTCGGCACAACGAACAACAGAATGCAGTTCCACCTCGGCATAAATGCCACATCCGCGAACTCTCATCCAGCGTACACCCCTAATGTCACCACATAGCTTCCTGGCACGCCCACACGACCCTGGGCCACCTCACATTCCACGCCCAAGCCTTGTCACTGCCCCACACCTCATGCGAAGCACCGAACAGTCTTAGCAATCTCTGCACCATTGTTTCGAGCCTTGGCAAGGCTATACTCTACCATTAAGCTATTTCCGCCATCAATCCACTTTGTGGTGCGCTCGCCGTGAGATGGTTCACGAGGGGCTGCCTTGGTAACAACCACTTGTGTTTCAATTTCTTCAGGTCTGTGTTTCAGTAAAAGCACCGTGAGGTGTGAAGCTTACAGGAAACGCCTTAGAGTTGGAAGTTCCAAATTCTTGAAAACATATATGCAAATTTCCCTAAGCTTCGCCCTTTTTTTTTGTTTTCCTTTTTTCAGTTATCAAAAGGATTCAAACCTTTGCATGTCGGTATCGAGTCCGTGCTATGTAGAGATACATAGAGTGCTACGAGAGCATACGGTGGAACCGGTGAACCATTCGAAAGCCTGTGTTTGGCTATTTGGGCATGGTTTATGGTGCGCGCTTTCTTCAAAGGAGGCTGCTTCCAAGCCCACCAGATAAATGGTCTTTGTTTTGATACAAACAAAAAGAGGACATCGCTTTTTCATGGCGAAGACACGGGTTCATTTTTAAGATTGAGAACATTCTCAATTGACTATGAAAAACTTTTCGGCTTTTTCGAAGAGTCTCTTCTGGGTGAACGTAAAGTCTCCCTATCTTCACTCAAAGACTAAGAGGCAACCGTTTTACGCGAGCAACGCAGGCTTTTAGAGTCTATGCAAGGTACAACAATTGATACACAAATTTATCAACATTTGTATGATTCATGGGAAAAAAACAAAATCTCGTGACGTTGTACAAGCGCTTTGTTGCTTGCCTCTCTACTCGAGAACATGAAGTTGGAATCGCTAGTGATCGCGGATCAGCATGCCGCGGTGAATATATACTCAGGCCTTGTACACACCACCCGTCGAATGGTTCACCGGTTCCACCGTATGCTTGACTAAGCTTCCCTCCGAACCGTGCGTGCAAGGCACATACCAGGGCTCGAAGAGCGGGAAGCTGGGATGGTTGGATTTGGCCGGCGGCGTATTATCATTGGAGGTTTTTTAACCAATTGGAAGCTCTTGTTTTGAACTTAGCACACTGAATAGTAAGATGCCAAATAGAACGAATTCACGCATTCTGATTTTTCTTTCTTCTTTGTCCAGACTCTCCGTAACGACTGATTCACAATTTCTTTTTGGCGGAGATTTCACAACGGCCTGTGGAGTAATAGAAGGCTATTCTGTTGAGTGAAAAAACTTCTAGAATCAATTGTAGATTGAACCGTACCCCAAACCGACACAGGTGAACCAATTCCTCGAGTAAGTGCTTCAAATTCTTCTAGGAATCTTTTTATTAAGTTTTTTTTTTTATCGCGGAATCTATTGAATTTAAATTAAATTAAAGACTTCCCAGAAAAAAAGATTCTGTTTTTCGAATCCAGAAACGAGTAAATTGACATGAAAATCAATCGACCATTATACATGGCAATCAAATGCGGCACACAGATCATTAAGAAAGCATGAGCTGTTATTAACACATGAATATAATTTTTGTGTATTTTGACAGGGTAGTTTCAAAACAAAAACTTATGAAAACTCAACATTGGTCAGCGTTGAGTTGGAACATTTCAGGAAGCGTGGTTCACACACTGAATAGTAAAATGCCAAATAGAACGAATTCACGCATTCTGATTTTTCTAGAATTTCACTTTATCGCCAAGCTCTATCTTCGAGGATATTCTCAATTGATTGTGCACAAGCTGCACTCCTTTTTTTAGTGTTATGGATGTTGGTTCGTGTTTTATGGCATTTTCACGTTTTTCGAAGTGATCGCTTCGCGCATTTGCGTGTACTACGGATCCTCTGCGATCCACCCTGTGGTGTTAAAGGAATGGTAAACGTCAGCGGGCTCGCACTGTATTCTTGGGCAATCTTAACGGAGTCTCGGTTGATGTGCTTTCCTTTAGCTACTTAGATGTTTCAGTTCGCTAAGTCAACTTCGTTGCGGTTTCCCGATAGGAAATCCATGGATCAAAGAGAGCTTCTCCCCATGGCGTTTCGACGTCGAAAGTTCGCGTCTTTCGAGATGAATAAATAGAAAACTCAATAAGTAAATAAAATACAATTGGGGGACGCATGCCAAAGGGCTCGCAAGACTTAACCAATCGAAATGAGGTTATTGCATACATTCTGGGAGAAGGCCATAATTTACAAGAGCACTCTATTGTTATGGTTCGAGGAGGTAGAGTCAAAGATTTGCCTGGTGTAAAATACCATTGTATTCGAGGAGTGAAAGACTTACAAGGAATTCCTAATCGACGTCGAGGCAGATCAAAATATGGTACCAAAAAACCCCAAATTGAAATATGAACCGAAAAATCTCACATCGGCTCGCCAGAGTCATTTTAGAAGGATTCGCTTCGTGCCTTGCCACGTCTGGTCTGGTATCCGAATGGTGTAACGACTGCCCCGCTGTCTCCAACATGGGCTCAGTGAAATTGAATTCTCCGTCAGGTCAGGCGGCCAATAAGACACTAACCCCACCCCCGTGTCCGGGGGGACGCGTGGATGAGAGCCTGGTAGAGCACGCCGCCGCTCTCGCAGATTTTAAGTCTGTCGTGTTTACCATTTTTCGAAAACCAGCTATCTCCGAGTTTGATTGGCCTTTCCAATCATCTCTAGTTTTCAGATAATTCAGGTGCAAAAATCGTACAGTGTATCAAAATCCGGTCAAAAATCTCTAAACACACGCAGCCAGGCACGATTTCAAAGGCGCGAAGCACATGCAATTTAAGTAAGAAAAATGGACTACTTTCTTGGATATGCTCACCTAGGTTTGAATTGGCCTTCAGTCGATTGATTTTCATGTCAATTTACTCTGATTTTGACTAATGGTACTTCACAATTACAAAGTTAAAAAACACCAGCACGTTAAAATTCAAATTTGTATCAAACGTACTGGATCTATTGTAGATGTTCTGCTGATTGTCCGCACCGACAGTCCGTTTTTCTTACTTAAATTGCATTGCGATCAAAGTCGCATAGTCACTACGGGAGAAGGATATACCGAGAAAACCAAGCCAAGTTTGATTCTCAGGGAAGTAGCTATTGCGAAGAACCAATGAGCGCAGTTCAAACCTCGCTCCGATACCAAATTGCAAGGAAAATGAGCAATAACGAGATGACAATAATCAGATTGCACAATTACATTGAAGGCCAGATAGTATCACATTGTCCAAAAAGCAGAAATGCACCAATATAACACCAATGAAGATTCGTAACACTGGAAACCAATGGCAATGAGAGCTTGCTCTCGCCACCACCAACATGAGTGTCCAGGACCTATCTCCCTACTTGGTGCTCGGCGCCCAACCCACTTCCTACATAGCTACTCTCTGCCTACTAATTGACAATACAACTGTTAAAGTCAGCAGCCTCCGAAGTACTTGAAGATGTCGCCCATGCAGACCATCGCCAATACCAGGTATGTGCCCTCACATCATCATCATCATCATCCTTCTCTCTCTCTCCCTCGTCTTACTCCCACATTTTCCCTTTTGTACACCCGAAGACCACCCCTGCGCGTCACTGTACAACCAAGCCCAACCAGCTATGGAGGTTGGGCTATGGCGCTGCCCTTAGTAGCGTCGTGCTCCCTGCACGACCGCAAGCGCTTGCACCTGGCCTCTCAGCGCCAGCAGCAGCCCACAAGCATCCGCTACAGCAGCGCTGCCGCTAGCATGCGAGTGCCTGCATGAGGCTGCCGGTGGCGAGCTCTTTCCTATATGGAAAGAGCCTCCTGCCTTCGCAGCCTGGCTGGACTGGCTTGGGCCCAGAAGCTTCCGGTAGGCCCCAGGATGCTGCACTTGTTGCAGCTACTTGGCCTCTTTCGGTTGGGCCTCACAACTGTCAGTGTATGAGGCTGCGATTCTCGCCCAGGCCCTGCATTCTTGGAAAGGCCCAGAAGGACGTGTAATGTGCTGCTGCTCGGCCTGCGATTTCCCTCAACCAACTGGCGCGTCGCAACTGTCTGGACCCCCAAATACGAAATTGACATTCGAGGGCCTCTCATGCTTTGTTAGGCCCGTCTTCACCTGGGCAGGCACGTATGCAACAGGGGGCCCTTAGGCCTGCCGAGGACCCAGATCCTCACATTTTCTACAATGACAAGGCCAGCTGTCTTGATATGAACCGACCGGCTGCAGGTAGTTCAGAGATTTTTCTTTTAACAGATTCCATCAGGACTATAACCCTTGTCCGTGTATCAGGAGTTCGTGGGTGTACCGTTATGCCATGTGAGCTTGAGTCGTCATGGAATCACATGAGCAAAATGATGTGAGGAGAGGACCCCTGTTTTTTCCTGTATGTTCAACAGAATTTTATCGGTTCTTTCGGCTGAGGGAATTTTCTGTCTGTAATGACCCGCCAAAAACACAGACTGAGAACACTGCTGATTTCTGGGATTTGCTGCTGGAATGAGTGCCTTGCTGAAATTCCCGCATTCTGCTGTGATTTCCATGTCTGTGTGTGTGTGCATGCCTGCTGGTTTGCATGCCTGTCTGAGTGCTTGTCGGTTGAGTGTGTGTGTGACCCGCAAGGGTACTTGTTGGTTGCAAGGCCCCGCAGGGCCGGTACTTACCTGTGGCCGTGACTGTGAAGGGTTGCAGGGGGAAAACACTC